AAAAGCATATATACTTATCTCACTGGGATCAATTCATTTATTTACTTTATTTCCAAGGTTACCTTTTCTCAGTCATGGGATTTCCATTGGGGCTTATTCCTTTGTTTGCTCACAAGCCAGGGGTCTTTCCACATCTATCCTGTCCTTGGCAGGAATCCTTGGAGAGTAGCCTGGTGGTAAGCCACCTGCTCTGGGTTGAGGGTGGATCTATTCTAGTCATAGACTTTGTGATCTGGACAAAGGAATTGAGTATGTGCCTGTCAAATTGTCAGGCAATACTAAATTTGGCGAGCCAGCTGAATTCTAGCAGAAAAAGCATGCAAAATAAGGTTTAGCAATTGAGGAAAAATTGGCCCACAGGGAAAAAAAAACAATTGAATGAAACTCAATAGGAATTACATGGCCATAGAATTCTAACTTGAGACTTGCAACTAGCTATGTGACCTTGTAGAATGGGAGCTGTTACTCAAATATAAAACAGAAAGTTATACCACACCAGAACATTTTGGAACCAATGAGTCTTTGAGAAGAAGCCCCGCCCCATGCCTAGGCTCTATGTACATTAGAAAAAATGATTTCTTCCAACTTTAAAATGCTTATGGTTTTTGAGGTTCATTTCTGCTGGGCCTCCCATCACCACAGTCAGAATTGCTCACCCCCTCCAGTCCCACCAGCCCCTGGTCATCTCTTGGTTGCCCTTGCTTCACCCACCCCACATGGTTTACCTGTCTGATTCCTCTTCTGGGTTATTAGCCCCTTGATAGGCGCACCTAGCTTCAGCACAGGTGTAATTATCACAGGTGTGATTACATTTCAGTCTGTGGTTGGTTGAATCTATATGCAGAACCGTGGGTGTAGAAGGCTGATTATGTTGGTTCAAGTTTACACCCCCACCCCAGGTTCTCTTCTCATTATTTATCCAAATTCAGCAACCTTTATAAAATTGTAAAAGGCAGAAAGTGAAAACAGTTCTTCAGATCTTTGACCAGCACAAACTATAAGGAGAAAATGCCTTGTACCTGGACACTTGCGGTTGAAGAAAGATCACAACTACTTTGGCTTTGTTTTAAATATATATCCCAGTAAGTCTGTGGACAACTAAAATATTAAGAGGATTTCGTGTGGATTTCTGCCCAGTTGCATCTCCTTCCATTCTGCATGTGTGCAGTTGACCTGGAACTCAAAATTTCATGAAGATTTTGTGTCTTCTTGAAGTCCAATCAAAATCACTTCAAATTCAATGCTGTCCATGAGTACATTAGCAAAGCTTCCTCATTTCAGGTCACGAGTGACTATATCTGCTTATATTTTCTGTGGTTAATCCCACTCTTTGTGGAACCGATTGGGGCTACGATGAAAGTTCAGTGATAACTACCCTGCTCCACATTGGCTCAAACCCACTCATAAAACCTATGGGTACAAATCATAAGCTGAAAAGGTGTCCCAAAGTACTACCAGGTATCCTTGTTTCACCATTTTATCTACAAAGATCCTATAAATGACACTTAAAAATATTTTCTAAAGTATATAGCTATATTTTCCCACAGTAGCCCCTAAAGCTTGGCAGCCAAGTCATCTATTAACATATGAATGAAACAAGGCTTGCGGCACAGCTTCTTAGCATGCACATGCTGGTCCTGGTACCAATGGCGTTCCTTTCCAAATGTTCACAATCTGCTGCTCCTGCTTCTGAAGCTCAGTCACGTGTCACTTACCAATGGGGATATGTTCTGATGTATTTGAGGGTGATTTTGCAATTTTGGAAACATCACAGAGTGCTTACACAAGCCTAAATGGTATAAGCTCCTGCATGGTGAGGCTGTGTGGTGTAGCCTATTGCTTCTAGGCTATAGACCTGTACAGTGCTCCTGAATTGAATACCATAGACAATGATAGCACAAAGGCAAATATTTGAGAGCTAAATAGAGATAAGGTACAGTAAAAATACTAGGCAAAGGGAATCTTTTAGCTCCTTTACAATTGTCCAGGACCACCATCATGTATTTGTCCCATCATTAACCAAAATGTTGTATTGTATTGACTAAATTGAACTCAGACCATGCCCTGGAATTGAGTCTCACCTGCCTTTCCTTTCTTGAGATACCATCTGTGGCCATCTCGAATCTTTTTTTTTTGTCTTTTTGAGACAGGGTTTTGCTATGCAGTTCAGGCTGGCCTTGAGCTCACTTTGTAGCCCAGGCTGGTCTCGAACTCCCAACGATCCTCCTGCCTCAGCTTCCTGAGTGCTGGGACTACAGGCGTGTGCCATCATGCCGGGCTTCCAATCTTATTTGACTCTTTCATGACTCCTCAAAGACTGTGACTTTGAAATCATAGTATAAGTTTAAATGAATCAAGTTATTGAGGCTTGAACATAAACCTTTGAGGCTGGCCTTACAAGGTATGGCAGGCTCATAGATTCTCCTTTAGAGACAAGTTCTCCAATCAGAGATTGGTGACTATTTCTTCTTATTTTTTTTGCTACCTGGTTCTTCAGGATTAGATGATTTAACAGGCTTTTGTCACATTGAACATCTTCAACTGTAGTGGTTGATTGATTATGTTACCTTGAGAAGTTTAGTTTAAACTTGGCTCAGCAATTTGCTCAGCAATTCTATACCCTAGGGTGTAGGGGACTCTCCCTAGGGTGGATCATCACCTAGATGATATAAAAGGGAAATGAAGAAGGACAGAGGAACTTCCATTCCTTTTGGAGGAGCTCCAGTCTTCACCTTCAGCTTGGACTTTGTCTCCTGGCTTCCTAGTGCAGACTCTTCGGCTTCCACCTTGGATCCTTCAGCCTTCCTTTGCAGACTCATTGGCCTCCTGGTACAGACTTGCACGGAACTCTGCAGTGAACTCCAGACCCTGGACTGATTCCTTCGGTCTTCGGTGTGCAGACAAACTCTGCAGCTTCCTCATACAACTCTTTGGCTGACCATCATAAGCCAATCTTGTTATTTCTTATACATTTGTACATCTTGTGTTATATCTATTTCTCTAGTAAAGCTCTGACTGAGGAGAAGCTGCTTATCTTCATGTGAAGATGTTTAAAATTTTTTTCTCTAATTGACCTGGAGAGTCAATACCTCTTGCTAGTCTGATCTTTTGCTGGGGAACATATGAAGGCCTTGAATGATAGCTCCAGCATCAAGAGTCCAAGCTAATTCTCCCAAAGTGCCAAGGACTTAGAAGAACATCTTCTAAATCAAAATGCCAGAGTTAGGAGTGAAGGCCCCAGCACTGCCTCACTCCTTCTCTGATAATTCTTCAGGTTGTTCCCGAGGAGAAAGTGCCAAAACACAAGATGACTGGAAAATATCCTCATGGCAGAAAGAGTTTTCCTCTACTCCTGTACTCCTCATTCAGAATGTAAGCCTTGGAATTGATGGGAGACAGCCATGTTCTTGTTTCTGAACTGGAATAAAGTGATAAACATCCCAATTTTTAGAGAACCAAGCCAGGCTTTGTCTTTTCCCACCTGACTCTAGAGCTCCAAAGTTCTTTCCAAAGAGTGGCCATTATGGAAACCCATCTCAGGGGCAGAATATCAAAGTTTGAGTCTTAAAGAGGTAGTTTAGAGATAAAGCAGTCACACTGCCTCCTTTTAGCTACATCCCCCCCCCCACCATAAGACCTAGCTGGAAGAGAATCAGCCTTGAAAACTAGAGATCAAAAAAATCTGTCCTAGGGCTGGGGATTTAGCTCAGCGGCAAAGCGCCTGCCTGGCAAGTGCAAGGTCGTGAGTTTGGTTCCCGATACCGGAGAAAAACCAAAAAAAAAAAAAAAAGAAAAGAAAAAAAATCTGTCCTTGCCTCATCTGCCATTACTACCCCCTTGCTCATTGGCTCCTTTGTAAGGCAGGTGAGGGAGGGAGAGGCCAATCTGAGCTGGCATTTTTGATCTCTACTTTTCAAGGCTGATTCTTTTCTGGCTAGGAGAGAGAGTAGGTAAAGATATGGAAGCTCGAAGTGATGACTTAGCTAAGGTCGCACACTCAGGAGAGTAGAGCAGGCCCCTGAGGGCAGGGATTTGCAATTCTGGGCTCCCTTCATTGTAACGGGCAATGCTTCCTTGGCTCCTGAGTTGTATTTCCTCTGTCAGCTTTTATTTCTGCCCTTTCCAATGTGAAAGTGCTTTCTCTTCCAAGACAATAGTGAAACAGAATGGAGTTTGAATAATTCTGGCTTCTGCTAATATCATGCCACATTTTCTAAGAGTGGGAATATATAAGGTGGTAAATTTAGACACAGGGAGGCTAGCCATGGGAAGACAAGGTAGATGAAGACCGATTAGGCACAGGTGGGACACAAAAATACCAGTGAGGTCACCGTTCACCACAGGCAAAGGATACGGCCAGAGAGTGCTATTGCTCAAAAGCCAAATTGATACTGGGATGTATTTATAGAAGGATGACATGCAGAGCTCAGGAAGCAATCATTAGGCTACAATCTACTAGTCAGATCTCTATTAAATATGATGCTCGACATATCTGTCACACTTTGAAGAGACTACCCAGAGGGAGGAGCGAAGCTATGGAAATCATAACTTAGAGTACAAGTTAAAGAATTTGGGTTGCTGAAGGCAACAGTTTTCACAGATTCCACCCATAGTCTGATTGCTTGCACAAGTAAGAGGAAAGATGGGTAAAGAAGAGGGGAATTTTCTCAGCCACAAATTTCCCTCCAACCAGCTGGCCACTCAGCATAGAACTTTAGAAGTCAGTGCTGTTTCTTGCTTTCCTCTCAGGGTTAAGGTTCCCTGTTAAGAGTCTCCCTGTAAAGACTTGAAGTCTTGTGGAGTCAGTTCTCACCAAGGCTGGCTTCTCCTCTAGTGTGGGGTCCTGCTGTGTAAGTTTCCCCTCCAGGTAGTTATGGGCAATTCAAGAGCACAGTGGTTGAACACCCCAAAACTCTCCATAGCAATCCCCTGGCTCCACTTGCTTTCTGAATTTGCTTTCAGCCTATATAGGAAAGATTTTCTCCCTCTGTCTTTACCAGAACGCTGTGGGAATCTAAGTTGCTCCTATCTTACCCCTGTACCTGAGCTGCTTTAGAAACCAGCACACCAAATATGATGGAAGTATATAGGTCAGCCACAGAGACCCAACATTGATTTCCAGAAGTTAAACACACAGGATTCTTCTGACTTGAGATATGTTTTGTGCAGTTCTCCCACACTGTAAGGTAAGATGATTTTAAAGCAATGCTCTTCCATGCTTTGCTTTGCTCTTTCATAATGCACAAGCTTACCTCTGTGCCCCAGAAATGAAGAACAAAGACACACAAGCATGTCATCGTTGGGATTACATACTAAATTCTTGCAGGTCAGTGACTGAAAGTAGAAATGTCCCAGAGCTGGCTTTCTCCATCTCTCCCAAAAAGAAATTTCTAAGGAAAAAATACCAAGACATTGCTTCTTAGCAGCAGTTGGAGAATATCAAAAGCAGAGTCCAAGCCTGACGCTAGGGGCCAGGGCTCCCCAGGAGCATGGATTTGGCTTGTTCTGTTTGACCACTTAGCTCAGGAGCTCTTTTCAAGAGAGCTCGGGGACATACAGTCCAAGGAAGTGCTGGGTATGGCAGAAAATGGCCCAGTCCCCAAGTCTATGCCATCAGAATTGCAGATCAAATATATGAACATACAGGCCATGAAGGGTCCCACCTCCAAACACCATTAACATATACATTTAGTGATGAAGTTTCTAATACATGAAATTTGTAGGACATATTCAAAACACAGCATGCCAAACACAGGCTTAGCAACTGGATAGACTTGGGATTGAATATCAGTTCAGTCAGTCCCCTTCACCCAGCACAGGGGGAGCCTCAACTACATCTAGACAAAGCCACACACCTGCCAGAAACTGCTTGTCTCCTATAGGATCAAACTACATGTCTCGTGTTCCCCCCTTTATATTTTATCTTGCACATCTTGCTACACCAACACAGGGATTGATCTTGACTGTTTTAATGATTGTCTGATGTTCTACTACAGGGCCATATTGATTTTTGTCATTTCCAAGGATGGTCAAATTGTTTATGATTTTTGCTATAGCCAAAAAAAAAAAAAAAAGAAAGTTCTGCAATAAATATCTTTGTACAAATAATCTGTAAATGAATATAGCTGCAGTAAAATTCCCAGAAAGAGAATTTCTGCAAGGGCTTTTAAAATTTTGATCCCCACCCAATAATGGTGCCCAAGAAGGCTTTGCTCTGACAAGACACAAGGAGGGGAGGACAGCGGGCTGAGTGAGGAAGGCACTAGCAGTGGCTTTTGTTACCCTTTCACTCTCCCACAAAGCATTGTTGCTGCTATTTTGAGGGTCCTCGGGTGCCGACTCCCCTGAAGATGAGAGCACAGCTGAGCTTTTTGCAGAGGGGATGTCTGTCCAAATCTGGGCTTATATTTGGCAACCCAGTGACATGCTCCCTGCATTTCCAGGGGACTCTTGGCTTCCCTCAGCAGGGACCTATTTGTGGCTGAATATTTTTCTGGCCTTTCAGCCCTCATGTCTGTTCTGCAACCTCTTCTGAGATTTGATGTGTTGATTCCCTGAGCAAACTGTGAGATACAAACCCCCAAACTGGAATCTGATACTCTCTGTCATTTGGGAAAGCACAAGAGTAAACATAGTAAAAGCTTAAATAGGAACAGTTAATGCTTAATTTTTTTTGATCAATTTTGCATGCCTATATCTGGTAATCTGAACAACTACTTTGAAGATAACAATATGCAATATAACAACCATTATTGATTTCCTATCATCTTGCTTTGAAATTCTGTATCATTTTTAATGTTTTTTAAATTCTCCATTTTTTTTTTTTTTTTTTTTTTTTTTGTACTGGGACTTGAACTCAGGACCTTACACTTGCCAGGCAGGCACTATGCCTCTGAGCTATATCCCCAGTTTAAATTCTCTTTAAAAGCTTAAATATTTTGTAATGAAAATAAAGTGCTGGGTGTTGCAGCACTTAATATTTAAGCTTTTATTATGGAAAATGGCAAGGATATATAAAAATAGGAAAAATCACATGCTCTGCTTCTATGTTTCCTCCCACCTACCTTCAATTATTATCAACTGGTGACCCTTCTTGTTTCTTTGTACCCACCAAGTCTCTATCCCCTATATTAGGGAAGCAAATCCCACACATCCTATCATTTCATCCACAGCTTATCATTTCATTCATATTTAAGTGTCTAACTTTAAAATATAAGTTCTTCTCAAAAAGATGTACTCACAAATTAACATACATAAACTAATTAACAATAATTTCACTATATTCAATCCAGTTGGTGTTCAAATTTCCAATTGCCTCATAAAAAATTAAACATGACTTTTAAATGTCAGGAAAGCAAATATTCAGTGCCAGGAGAATTGAGTTCAAGTCTCTGATTTGTCTTTTTCCCCATGGGTGGCTTTAGATAACTCTCTGCCTTTCATTTGCCCCTTTTTAAAAAAAAATTGTAGGTCTGGAAAACATCAAGAAATCTAATTATTTTCAGAGGATGCTGATCAGGAGAAGAAAAGAAGAGGAAAAAAAAAGCTTCCTGCAATAATTGAAACTGGCATCAACTTTTATATAACTTCCAAATAGTAGTGATTGGATCAATAAATGCCCACTGAACTCAATAAAAGTTACAAAATCTGTCTACACTTACCCCATGAAAGAGATGTGTTCATATCGGAGGATATCCTTGTCATCTCTTCTTGGTAGATAAGTGCTTTTCAAAATGAAGGAGATATAGGAGCTGCTCTCAGTTTAAGCCGTGTGTGTGTGTTTGTATGTATGGATATGTTGCTAGCGATTGAGCACAGGGCCTCCTTCATGTTACACAAGTACCACTGAACCACCCTCCAACCCTAGAAACTAATCCTAATACTCTATTTATTTAAAATACACAGGCACTCCTTTAAAATAATCTTACATGAGGAGACTAGAAATGGGGACAGGAGAAAGGAAGAAAGAAAGAAAGAGGATTTGCCAATGGTTCTGTAAGCCAAGTGATGCCACTGGAAGCTGTAGTGTCACATGAGATAATAGGCACACATATAAACTATAAAGTACCATCAAACCATTTTTAGAAAAATGAGGATCTCCAAAGTGTTCTTAGTTGCATTGAGCCCTTTCTCACTGAATTTGTATAAGCAGCAAGCAGATACAAAGGAAAAAATGTACTCTCTTTTCAAAATTCAGAAGACAAGGTGAAAAGAAAAAAAATAGCTGTATCTTAGTCTGTTTCCTTTTTCTAGAACAAAATACCTGGTAATTTTATAGGTGGATGATTTATGTAGAATAGAAGTCTACTTGGATCACAGTTCTGGAGGCTGGGAAGTCCTTGGCACAGTGCTGGCACATGCTCCCCCCTGGTGGGGCTTTCTTGCTGTGTCATGACACACAGGAGGGCATCCCCTGCTGAGAGACAGCAAATATGTCAGGCAGAGCTCCCTTTTGTAACAGCTGCTACTTTGATAACTCATGAATCCTCCAATCCACTGTTGCCTATGTAGAACCATCTGTTTAGGAGGGCTCTGCCCTTCTGACCCAATCTCCTTCCACAGATCCCACCCCCAAACACCATTCACAACAACTTGGGGGTTGTTTCCAGCACATGAAATTCAGGGGACACATTCACACACATTGATATAAAAACAAAAATATTACTAAAAACTTGTGGAAGTTAAAAAAAAAGAAAAAAGAAAAAGACCATTGCTGATACCTTTTCCTTGATTCACATGTGTGTGGAGCAGGATGGTGGATCTGGTCCTGTAAAGGGAGGGAGGAAGTGAGCAAGAGGCACCTGCACATCTCCCTGTGGCCTGGAGAGGACATTATGAAGCACGCCTTCCACACCTGCAGTAGCAGGTGAGATGCAGCTGTGCACCTGTCGTCTGTCTCTTTAACAGATGACGTTTTTGCAGGGAACGAGTTTGGGAAGGATGAGGAACAGCTACTTTCTCTCGCTTTTGAGGTCAGCAGTGCCCAGGGCTGGAAGAGGCTGGGCTCTGCTATTCTAATGTCATCTGGAGGGTGCAATCTGTGCCCTTTATCAGAGTACAAATGCCCACATGTTTAACCGCGGTGTCTTCTCACCTAAAGGTAGAGACCTATAAGCGCCAGCCCTGTGCAAAGATAACTGGTGAGGAGGCTGCTCCGCCTGAGAGCTCATGAGCAAGGCAGAGACTGCAGAAAACAGCAGCTGAGGAGTCTTCACACAGCCTTGAGAGAGCATGGTGGGTTCTGTGGGAAGACGGGTGCGGTGCCCTCGGCTGGCCAGTACCGCTCAAGAGCAGGAAAACACAGACTCACAAAGACCTTGGCAACCAAAAAGCGTGATTGGCAGGGCTTAGACTTGGCAGCTTCCACAGACCTCCTCCCTTCTTCTTTCACGTGCTGTCTCCTCACCTGGAGCACGCACTTTAACACTTTGTCTCTTGTTAACAAGCCTCTGGGATGGTAAGGCTCCTGTGTGAGGAGCCGAGGGAGGTGGGGAGAAGGAGAGAACATCTTCAAGCACAGGTGGAAGTTGCGGTTTGAATGACTGCTTCTCACCGGTGATGGGAGAGAGGGGAATCAGGAACAGGGGCCAGGGGAAGAGCTAGACACCAAACAGTTCATTTGTTCATTGTCTCCTGAAACTGAAAACTGAAAAACAAAAAAAAGTAGAGGGACCTGCAGAACTTGTCATCCTTTTTCATTTCTGTCCCTTCTCATCTCCCTCTCAGACTCCTCCTTATGGGTACTTGCCTGAAGCAGTCCACGCCCATGTGGTTCCTAGCAGGCACAGGCTCCTGTCTTTGGTTCATGGAGGCTGAACACACACTGCACACCTACTGGGTGTCAGGCAGTGCGCTAGGCCCTGGGGCTGCAAGTCAAAGACAGGCAGAGTCCTTGCCTTCGGGGAATGGGAGGTGTGAGGGAGGGAGGCTGGCAAAATAACAAGGAAGCTGTCAAATAAATAATTGCAAATTGGGACAAAAGCACACTATAAAGCGAGGGCCCAGGACTAAGACGAAGAGAAAAGGACTTACTTTCCGTTGGAAGGCACAGAGGAGGTCGTCTGAAGAACTGTCGGAAGCCATGACCTGAAGGATGATTGAGAGAGGTGGGTGTCTTGGTTACTTTTTTTTTGCTGCTGGGACAAAATACCTGACACCCAAAATTAAGGAAGTAAGGTTTATTTCCCTTACAGTTCACGGAGGTTTCAGTCCGTACTTGGCAGATTATAAGGCAGAGTGGCACATGGCAGAGAGCTACAGCTCAGGGTGGCAGCACACAGCAAAGCAACAAACACACACCAGGGCGGAATGGGGGAGGAATGGTCCCAAGCACTCTTTTCCTCTCCCTTACATATGCAAACTCTCCACCCCAGGGTGGGTGTAGCTCTCACACCCATCAAACTCTAAAAGCCTGCCCCATGGCCGCTTGAGGCTTTGGGGGGACACACAGATTCAAACCATAACAGTGGGGAAGAGAGATATGCTCAGTGGAGGAACTGCGCTGGAAGGCAGGGAGGCCGCGCCATGCTGGGCATCGCTTGCAGAACTGGAATTAGGCCAAAGTGGCTTCTGATTAGTGTGTAAGGAGAATTAAGAGGGTGAGGGTCATCGGAGAAGGTCAAATGAAAGAGGGCTTCGAAGGCCACTGAAGGTGTTTGGATTTTATTCTTAGTCCAGCCGGAAGCTATTGGATGGATTTAAGCCTGGGGGATGGTGTGACCGGATGTACATTTTAATTTCACTATAGCTTCTGGGCCCAGACCAGATTGGAGGGTGGCAGGGGAGGGGTATAGATCCCACATGGATTATTTTGGTCCACGTGAGAGGTACTGAAGGCCAGGCAAAAGGACAACAATGGCATTCTTGAAACAGACCTGGGCTCCAAACTCACTGGTGCTTTGCTTGTTCATTCCCTTTAGCAGGAAAAACATCGTAAGAATTTATGGAAGGAATCTACAGGAAGCCAGGAAAGGGGTAAATGTAAAGATAGTCAAGGAATTTGAAGTGATAAAGCAAAGTACATTCTGGTCATCATGAATATAAATTTTGGAGGCAGCAAGACCTGGGTTTTGAACCCTTAGCTTGTTGCTTACCAGCTGTGGGCCTTGGGAATGTTACTTAACCTTTCTGAGCCTGTTCTCATCTGCAGTTATCGCTAATGCCCACTCCTTCTGAGAAGGGTCATGGTGATAAGCTTATTAAAACATACACTAAAGGGCTTGGATGGCACAAGGCCTAGGACCTAGCAAGGGCTTGGCATGTGGGTGCTGCCAAAGAAAGGATAAAAACCTACTCTGCGTTAAGGGAATGAGAGAGCTCTATGAAAGGCAAAGCTTCTTTGAAATGACAAGGATGTCACTGGAGAGCGAGACTCTGTGTTCACTGTACTTCTCTAAACAATGGGCAGTTTGGTTTTGTGCAGCTGCTATAACAACATACCACAAACTGAGAGACTTAAACAACAGATGCACTGTCTCTTGTTGCCGAGGTTGGATATTTGATGTTGAAGGCGTTGGCTTGGTTCCCTCTGAGGACCGTGAGGGAGTCTCTGTTCCATGCTCCTCTTAGCTTCCAGTGCTGCTGGAAGTCCCTGGTGTCCCTTGGTTGGTGGATATGTTACCCTAATCTCTGCACTTACACTCACTTGGCATTTTCCCTGTTTGGGTGTCTCTAGGTCCAAATTTCCTCTTTTTGTCAAGACACAAGTCATACCGATTTAGGGCCTAATCCTAAAGATTGCATCTTACTTTGAACATTGCAAAAACCGTGCTTCCATGTAAGGTCATACTGGTAGGCACTCGGGGTCAGGGCTTCAGCATGTTTTTGGGAGGGACACAATTCAACCTAGAACAGTAGGCACACCAGTACTCTTTCCAGATCAGATTAAGAGATTATTCCAAATTTCCTGGTGTGAAGGTTAGGGTTGGAGTGTGTGGACCAGGACTAATTTTGTACAGTCTAGTTCTGCAAATCATCCTTACCAAGTCAAATGCTCTTAAATAGACAACAGGAGTTTTCTCACGGGCAGCAATCATGCACAAACGCGGCTACTCTAGGACTTGTAGCTCCTGTACAGACAAGCAAGTGTCGACTCCATTTTCTTCATGATCTGCCTCCACCTTGGTTGAGATTCAGCCTCGGGCTTGTATCACTGGGCCTCTGTGAATGTTGCCCATATTGTGTATGGCATAAATCAAGAGGATGCCATTTACATTATAGTCTATTTTGTTAAAAAAAAAAATATGCAGAAGTCTTGAGACCACAGCCAATCCCTACACCCCAGTTGTTCCTAACTGCTTTTTCCTTCTGATCTACCAGTGGGACTCAGGAGAGACAAACAGACAGACAGAGAGACAGAGTCAGAGACACAGAGACACAGAGAGAGGCACTGGGGGATGGAGGGGAAGAGAAACGAGAGAAGTAATAGATCACAGCAAAGTGTTCTGTATACTTTTGAATAGCTAACAACAGGAAAAGCAAACATTTAAAGATAATTCTGTTAAGAAAATGCATTAGATGATAGAGAAGCAACCACCCAGTGGCTTTGCTATTGTGCTAATTGTTTAGGGATAAGAGAGGAGGTAAAATTAAAGGTGCACCCTCACTGTCATGTACTCAAAGGCATCCTGCAGAACTTAGAACTGAGACA